AATGCCAGATGGAGGGCCCCCCATATGTTTACATAGGATCTCATGGACGTGGATCTTGCCGGCAACCCCCACGATCCACACTCTGGCCCCATTAAAGAGACTGATTCAGGATATTGACAAAGGATGGTCCACACAACCAACCTGAGCTGACATGATGCTGACGTGACATACATGAGACCTGTATAATACATGTCCCATGTTCCAGCATATGTCAGCCTTGCAAACGCAACCCTGGAACGCAAAGCCTGGGGCCGACAGAAAATCCATTGTTTTTGATCCAGGGCAGTACATATTGTCAATGGTGGCACAGCTGTAGCCCTGCGCAGTCCTGAGTAGATAGTGATCAAAACCCGGCCCTTGAGAACAACAACATTCTCTCATGTCATGCAAAGTTGTTTCAAACAAGAAACCATTCTTTGCTGGCAGCCGCTTGGCCAGCAAACAAGTCCAAAAACTGAAAACGGGGCTGAACTGGAGGGAGGTTTGTGGACCACATCACCAGCAAGGTGATCCCAATAAAGACCTAAGTGGGGCCAGAAAACCAACACAGCCTGGGCCCCATGAAGTGGATTGAGTGTCCCACCTTTGGTGCATTGAGCTGCCGCAAGTTGAGCACTATCGATTCACAATCCATTGCCAGTCCCAGGGAGGCAGCTAAGAGCAAACAAAACAGCTAAGGGTATCAGCGGAGTTGTGCAAAAACATTCCCTTGCAAATTCCTGCCATTCATGAGTGAGGCCACTCGATCCACGCCTTCTGCACTGAGCGCTCGAATGGCCCAAGTCTCAGAAATGGGCATGGTGACCTCCAAGAAGGAAGCACGTTCAGAAAAGAATTAAACATTGATCAATCAGCTGGTGTGTGCATGTGTTTCTCAATTGTATCGATCGTAATGTTTTTTGTAAACAAAGTGCCGTGCAACGATCAACAATTGATATGTTTTTTTGAGACCCCTTTGCCTTCACGTGCTTCATGGCCTACAGACACGAAGGCTACTGTGCACTCCATGCCTTTGGCATCCACGTGAAACCCCCACAAACCCATGGCTAGCATTTCAGATAGCCAGTCACATCCACAAGGTCCCACCAGGAACCGTGCACATAGATCTAGGTGGCCGCTGCATAGGCCTGAGCCCAATTCTGTATGTAACAAACTAAGGGGCCATGCATCCATGTGCACATATCAACCACCTTTGTCATGTGACCATGATCGAAACATATAATTAAGCTGGGCAACCGCTCGTCCAATCTTCTTCGCTTCATCCTCACTGTGCCCATTCTCCAGTGCCTCCTTCCTGGCTGCAACATAGGCCGAAGACTTTCGACTTCTCTCTGCATTCTTCTCCTTCTTCTTCTTCTCCTCCTCCTCAGTCATTTTGGCCCGTTTGCCATTGGTTGCCTTTGTCTCAATCTTCTCATTCTGATCTTTCACTTTCTTTCCCTTTGGCTCCCGTTTGCAAGCCTGTGCTGAATCCTGCTTCAAGTCGCTACCATGTTCATGGGTCTCATCACCCTGCTTCTGATTCTTCTTTGCCCTTTTCCGCACAGGCTTTGGCTCCTCCTCCTCCTCCTCCTCCTTCTTGACCATCGTCTTCCTTGCCTTCACTGCCTTTTCATCAGCCTCACCACCACGTTTCTTTCGAGCTTTCTCTCCATCATCCTGCTTCTTTGAATTGCTCTTGGGCTTGGTTGACTTCTGCTTGGGCTCCACAGAGGCCCTTCGGGGCTTGCGCTGCGCCGATCTTGGAGCCTTCTTTGCAGATTTCTTTGGGCTACATTCTTCCTCTTCGATGTTCGCCTCTTCCTCATCCTCTGTATAGTGCTGAGTCTCACTGTCAGACTCATCATCCTTTTTCTTCCCACGTCCTCCACCACGCCCATTCCCACGTCCTTTGCCACGCCCTTTTCCGCCTCCTCGTCCAGATCCTTTTGCTGAAGCTTTCTGGCTTTTCTTTTGATCTTGTGGGGTCACAGTTGGAAGACCATTCAGAATTGCTGGCTTGGGGTCTTCTGGCAAGACTTCTTCTTTCTTCTGTGTTGCCTTAACTGCTGCGCTGTCCTTCTTGGAGTCGAGAAGAGCCTTCAAAGCCTTCTGAGAGTCATTCTCACACTCTGCCAAAGCAGCCTCTGCTTCATCTTTGCTAAAGCCCATTCCCATGAACTCCCGCAGAACTGCTGGAGTCGCTGGAGTTGAAGGTCGAGAAGCACTAGGCTCAGCAATCTTTGGATTTGGCTCTGGCTGAGGTATCTTTGCCTCTTCTTTTGGTGGCTCCACTTTGGGAGCAGCTTCTTTTGCGTCAATGCCAGCATCAGCTGGGCTCACACCACCAAGCTGCAATGTCACCTCTCCACCTTTCATATCAGCGAACCGCTTTGGGGTACCAGGATCTGGTACCTGACTTTCTGCAAAGGCAGCCCCGCCATCCAGCACTCCATCATAGGGGACAGTGTCAAAGCCATCCAGGCCTTGGTGCAACGGTACTTATATTTGAGCACTAGCTAGAGCTGACTCAAGATGTGTGCCTGTGCAATTAAAGAAAACTGACATGGAGCCAAGCTACAATTCGAAGGGGCTGCAGAGCTAGAAGCTGGAATGGTCGAGTTCAAGTGCGAAGCCAAATCAGACAAAGATTTGGCCTTCTGCTCTAGCTGTTCGTTCTGCACCTCAAGCTGTTGTTGAATCAAAAGCTCCTCTAAGAGTTCCTGTTCAAGCTGTAGCCTCTCAAGTTCTTCCTCCATGACAGTAGTCTCAGGGACATGCTCCACCAAGAGCGGGAACTCCTGTTCTTGAGGGATCTCTGAAAATGAGATTGCAGTCGGTGAGATGCTGGCTCTGATTCGCTTTCCCCCCTGACAAACAAGTTGCCAGACTGCATCAGGCTCCTTCCGGCAAATCTTCCCAATCTCTTCCACCCAGCAAGTAGAGAAGGACACCACCATCTCTGAAGCAACAAAACTGGTCTCAAGTTTCTTCACTTCCTCACCCACACTCTTGCGGCAAGGGACACCTTTAATAGAGTCAAGGTTGCCAGACCGTAGCCCACATGAAGCACATTCCCACAAGTCATTGTTATGGGAGATGTTGTGGTGGTAGGCCTTCTCAGTACTTGGCAGCTCCAAGGAGTGTCCTTACAAGGATGGCCAAACATGAATGTCAATTTAAGTGATACTGAACAATATTCAACATATTTGCAAACAAAGGGTCCCCTGGGGGAAGGATGTGGGGTTGCTGTCACCGATGATGGACCAGACGGAGCGCCAGCCTTGTCCTCAATTGAGGTGATATGGAGTTGACCGAGCTTGTCAGCAGCTTCATTCACAGCATCTTCACCTGTGGCTGGGTTTGCACAGGGAACTAGGAAAACAGACATAGGACAATAGAAGGGGCATGAAGGGAGTGTTCTCGACAAATGGAGTGCCAACATCAAACCCTCATTCCAGGATGAAACGTGTTTGAAGTTTTGGGATCCAAGTCCCAAACAGCTTTCAATTCCATGTTGAGCCCTCCACCCCCACACACACACCCAAGAAGATTTCTTGCCCGCCTGATGAAGGTTTGAGTGCTTCAGGTTCCACCTCTTCATCCTAGGCATTTCAATCCAAGAGGGATAAGTACCGGGCATGGGCATTGGGCATGGCTACTTGCTTTGCACTTGTCAACATTGAACATCCAGCCAGGGTACTGTTTGTACATCACTGCTTTCTTCACCCTCCGCATCATCTTCAGAGTCTGAAGGCTCTCTCGAACCTCAATTGTTCCCATCAAAAAGGTTGCTGAGGGAGAGGGCGCACGCACACACACAAACACACCGAAATCATAAGCCTTAAATGCTGTGTAGTCACGTGGGTCAGCTGGCAACGGGATACCAGCCTGCTGATAGATTGCACGCATGCCGGGTTCTCTGGGGTAGTGTCCACGCTTGGCAGCACGATTGAAGATCGTCACTAGCCGCTTGATCTTCCACGCTTCCAAACGGACTTTGCTACCTAGGCCAAATGCAACCAGGCAAGTCCTTTGTACATCAGCTCCCTAACCCCCTACCCCCCCAAAAAAGACCAGCATGTATTGATCAAGTTGAGGAACCAGAAACATGGGGCTTCCCACGTGGCCGGGCAAAGGTCAAGAACATCTCCACTTGTTCATGGATACCATCAATCGTGACACGTGTTCCAGGATGTTCCAAAAGGGGCCCAATCACATCAGAATTGGTCACCACATCTGCGCGCTCGATGTATTGCTTTGGTAGTGCAACCAGACTTCCCTGACTTCCCCGATTCATCAGCACATCAGATTTTGACCATTCCTCCACCACCGGCGAAGACAGAGGCATGGCGTACAAGAGGCACTTCCTTTTCAGGAAACCCTGATCCATAAACTTGATCCACCACCTAGAGTCCTACAGGCCAAATGCCTGCAGAATTACAGAGGTCAAGGTTTTGAAACGACTGTAAATGTCTTGCAGAGCACCTTCCCCAGACTGTGCCTAAAAGAAAATTCTTGACATGGCCATCATTCTGTACCTGCCCAGCCAAGCCAAGGCAAGCAGATCTTGGCCCGCACACACAAAACATGCACTGGCCCTCTTGGACTGCAGACTTCCCAGGGCGCACGTGGCCAGGCACCAATATCCCTGACCCATAAAGCCAAATGGCTGTTCAGATGGCTCAAAACCATCTCAAAACATCTCAAAACCAAAAAGTGCTCGAATTAAGAAAAACTGCTCGAGACGTGGATTTGCGGCACCAATCAGAGTTTTGGTAGCGATTCATGCATTTTGGTATCGAAAGGCTGGGGGGGCAGGAATTTACATAGCGTTAGAAGGCCCTGGACATCAATAAATCCTCTGACGTGAAACATGTGCTTTCAAACAAACCCTCTGACCCTCTCCTCCTTTCTTTTGAACTACTGACAACTACTGGCATAAACAGTAACTTTCGCTTCAGCATCGACCACCGGCGAATCGTCGCCGTGTCGCCATGTCGAGCTCCAGGCTCCCGGGCTCGCGCGTGTCCGAGCCGCTTGGGCCACGGAGAAGCCACGACTGGAGACCTCCTGAGACGGGTTGGATGGGGTGGGCTTTACGGATTGGAGATGTTTGGATCTTGATCTACTTTAAGAGATTAACAAAGCGATGAGGATGATGTTGATGATGAGGATGATAGTGGTCGTGGTCAGTGATAAGAATCATGATGGAATGATTGGCAAAACATGCCACATGTCTTAGAGCCGGATAGCAACAATCACACACGCGTTACCTTCCCCACAACGAATGCTTAAACAACAGAATTCTCGGGAATGGATCGATTTCAATATGGGAGGACCCGCTCCTCACCATCGAGTCTCGCGCGTCGAGTCTCGCAACGACACCCACTCCAGGCGAGTCGAACACACAGTGAAAAGCTATGGCACCAAGGGGAAAGGGATGTCCCACGAAGACGGGGGACGAGCAGCCCCGTTATCCAAAAGGTACACCAGCTTCAGCCTCTCATGACTCATTTACATCCTGCTCAAACTCTTGGCAAACCAATCCCAGCTGGTCGTTTATAACAGAGATTTGTCCTAAAAGAGTTCTGCCGCGAGTATTATCATGTCTTATCTCCTGCACCTGCTACATTTTTTTTGTTTTCTCTCTCTCTCTCTCTCTCTGACTCTCCCTCTGATAGGCAAGAATGCTCTCTTGGCAGCTTAGTCGATGCTTCCCTTTATCGCCTCCGTTTTGATTTGCATGGAGACTTGGGCATCTTGGTGTGGCATCTTCTTGCGGTGTTCCTGGCGCTCGCCCCCATGGATCATGATTGCTGACGAAGCAGTTGTTGTCATAAACGTTCTGCATGGTTTGTTGACTCCAAAGCAGGATGTGGGTTGTGTGAGTTGGTACATAGAAACACTTTGTCGTGACTCAAGTATTGAATCTGGATATAAACACCTGTTATTCGCGATGAACAAACTGATTGATAGACTGATCGGGGTATGCTCTACAAAATGGTCTTATTTTTTGGATCCAGGAACATTGGTAAACAATGATCAATTTGCCAGGGATGAAGCAGCCTTGCCATTAAAGCCAAATGAAGAAGCATGTATTACACTGGCAAGTGAAAGGATTCAGTACGGGCATTGTTGTATTGCATGAATCTTCTGAACCTTTCTACTCGCGGCTATGCAGCTTCAAGCGACCTATATCAGCCGCAAAGAGATGACATGGCCAAAAACGACGTGACATAACATGACCAAGATGCTGCCCATTGAGTCTGGAGAATATGCAAGCAATGCTTGAGAATCTGGAGGATCTTGTGCGTGATGAGTGCGTCGACGTTTCGGGTCTTGCCTTTCCAATTTGCTTTCCCAGCGAATCCACCCTTGGGACCGACCTGATCTTCCTTTTTTTTCGTGTCCCTTAGACAGTCATTGCCTGTCAATCCACCCTTGTGACTCCATCCCTTGTGCCCCGCGGTGGGAAGACCAACAGGTCAGGCACACATAGTCCGAGACCTCGGCGCGTCGGTCCGGTCCACCCGGATGACTCCGGTCGTCGGGTCCACACGGGTCCAGTGGTACGTCGTAGCTGACAAGGTGTGTGGATCCGATTCCTGCTCGTTTTTAGTATCACCCGGAGGTGAACATAGGGTCTCTCAGCACCTTTTGAGACCTATTCTTGTGCTCGAAGTATACAGTAAGTGAATGCTCTGGAGGTTCACTTTAAAGCCTTGCAAACATCTTGATCATGTCTCCTCCTTGGACTCTCCCCGTGGATGAAAATATCCCGGCACTAGTTCAACGGCGAGGCTTTGAGACAAGGACTGGGATCCACGAGTTTGTAGAACAGCCAACAGCTCCACCCTTTCTTTCACGGTGGCTTTGAAGGCTGCGGCATGCCATCACTAGCTGCGGAAACGGTACAAGCGAAAGGGCGACATTGCCAGGATCCCAAGCCCTGTAAGACCAATCTGAGAAGGGCAAACAGAAAGGGCCACGCAAACTCAAGTTTGCTCTTATCAGGCTACCTTTCTCGATAAAAGGCTTTAGCAGCCCGCCAGGAAGGAGTCCATTGTCCTACTCTACAGTCATCGACAAGACCAGGTCACAAAAAGGTTCAAATTTCTCCACCAATCACGACTACAGAGACATACAACAGTGCATCTCTGTCCGCATATGGAGTCAAATCGTGGTACTATCGGTCTGGTCCGCATCTCCATCCAGCGTCGACCCCCCTCTTCACCTTTTAGGCAGCAAACACGTTCCAGGACCTTCTCCAACTCTTGCTTCCTCTCTTGGAACTCCACCTGGACGCCAGCTCACGTTGCGTTCATGGTACCCGTTCAAGCGATGTCTTTCGACTTTCGACTTGATCCGCGTTGTTCCAAACGGCGGCGGCCCGGCGTCCTTCAACGCCTAGCACCGCACCGACGACTTCGGAAACGAGAGAAGCGATGTACACAACATGAGAGATAAACATAAGATGTGGACATAGCATAGTTATAGTTCAACATTTGTGTTTAATGAGATCTGGACTTCGAGACCGGCGAGCGGTTGCTTCAACCGGGTCATCATGGTCGGCCTCACGTGGTTGCTGATAGTCAGCAAATGCGTTGGCCAAAGCAAATGTGTGAAGCTGTGACAAGGGCGAAACGCTGTCGATGAGAATTGAGATTCCAACCCATGAAACTCTTTCCCCTCTTTCCCTGCTACTCACCCGCTGAAGCTCGGCAGAACCACAAAACATATGTGTTTTGCCTTCTGGGCATGTTTGGGCGGATGTCTTTGATCCTTCTTTTGTAATTAGGTCAAGGAAGTCCGTGAACGAGGGGTGTATATAACGCCTTCCAGCCACAGCATATCAAGAAAAGAGTTGCACAAGTCAGGTCGATTAAAAGCCCTCCAGGCGGTATGAGTATTCAGAACCCCAAGTTGACAGAAAAGAGGGTCGATCTGACTCAACGCACGCAAGTCTCTGGCAAGTTCAGGGTTGCGAGTTTGATGCTCTTCCGAACTTCCTAGTCAAACTCAATGATGGTTGCCTACAGACTGGCTCAATGCATACAGTTGAACATATTTTTGCTCCAGGCGCTGCATCTTGCCAAACTTTTTTGGGTCCTTTTTCCACCCCGTCCCTGCCCCATTTAGGCGACGCCTGGACATTGTCCTTCCACTCTTGTGCCACTCGCTTGATCTGGCAGAACCAGGGTTCGTTTGAACGCATCACGGCTCATCTTGCAGTCAACTGGAGCACTCCCGATCCTTGACATGATCCCCTGAACCTTCTCCCAACCTCGCAGTTCCACATCCCCTCCCAACCCCAACCGCAACCCGGTTGGCAAATGTAGCAAGAACTTGCTATCTCGGGAACTTGGTCTCTGGCTTCGGATACCGCCCTCTCGTCTACCTGCCGTAGAGTCCTGGGAGGGTCCGCCGCCGACTTCGCACGCCTGCAGGGCACAAATCTCCTCCCGCCACAAGGCCGCCTGCCGTCGACCAGTGAAGCAGTCAACAAGCGGCATCTGTTTTGCGGGTTCACGTTTCGCATACTTGAAGAACTCATCTATCTATATATTACATATGATGTATGTCGGGAATATAGTCACAATATATGATCTATTATGATCTATACATATCTATACATCTGCCTGTCATTTCTGGGAATTATATGCCTAGTGTGTCCTTTGGATACAAACTGAGACATCTCTTGAGACTGCAAAGTTAATGGCGGAAATCTCAGGGTTCACATATGCTCACATGATCGACTAATCTACTAATCACCTCGTTTCTCGTCTCAACTCGTTGAGGACCCCCATCCTGTCAATGACTCCTACTTTATGTTGTTCTTTTTTAAGAACGCCCGCTGATGTCTAAAGGTCGTTTCCCATGAACGAACCCTCAAAAAACATCGTCACCCTTGTAGTCTCCAAAAGCAAAAAAATCAACTTCAAAATAGCTTCAAGTTCAACTATGGCCAAGCACTAGGCTTTAAAGACCACCAGCAAATGGGTGCACCGTCTATATCCTTAACATTTAGGGGGACTTCCCATGTGTGAGCCAAATGAAGGCCACCCGCTGCGATGTCGCTTAGATGTGAACAACGAAGCGACATGCCCGGTCAAACGCGTGCTTGGCTGGCCGAATAACACACGGAATGGGTGCCCCAAACAGGCCAATTGTGTAAACGCGGAATGGGTTCATTTGTTGGAATGGGACATGATGGATCTCCCAGATTTGTGTCAAGGTAGCCGCAAACCAACAAAATTTGCGTATCAGGAGAACACTGTTCTATGTCAAAACAGACTCCCTAGCTCTGGATACCCTTTCAACAAGTTAATGTATACATATGCATACAGCGTTTTGCCGGCTTGTTTCCTGGAGTGTTCACTCGATGTAAAACATTCCAAACATCGATGTAAAACTCGCAAATGGTGCAGAACACATGTCATGTATATATAGATATAGACTGGAACATATGAAGACGTCGAATGGTATTGGTTTATTAGTGAATGTATTGGTCGCCCTTTCAAAATTATTACTAAGCACACACTTTGGCGGAAACAAACAACAAAAACACACAAAACTGGCTGAGTATACTGCAAACAAATATGTTTCGCCTTCATCTCCTCCTCCTCGACCTTCAGCTGCCGCTCTGCCGTTGAGATTCGGGCAGCGCCCGCCTGGAGTGGCCACGTGAAAATTCCGAGAGACAAAACCGTGTCATAAGAGCCCAGTCGTTGAAACATTGGACACACCATCCAATCAAAATTCGGACATCATAAAATTCAAAAATACAATTTGAGACAAACAGTTCAATCAAATCGAACATAATTCAATTCAGAATTGGTATGTATTTCGAAAGAACGTACACAATCCCGGCAAGTCGTGAGCCGCGGTTGTGGCCAGTTTGCATTCACCAGATTGCACAAAGGCATGGAGAAACGTAAACAATTTGTACATAAGACACGACAGTGACACATCAAACAGCTAAATACATTTGTGCTCTGATATTGGTTTCTGAAGAGATGACTGACATGTGATTTTTGGTGTGCCACATTCAGCCTGTCGAGCCACCGAGATGCCATCGAAAGTTCAAATTCAACAACGTCCCACTTTTCCTTGCGCCCAATATTTGTAGAACACCCCCTACACAATTTTTTCTGGCTACACGTCCGCGAATCTGAGCAACAAAGCGGGATCAACAAAAACTCCGTGTTGACACCACATCCAGCCACTGTCACATCGGTCCCACACACGTGGCTGGGCCTGGAGGCTCCGCTCCACATCGCGGGTCATCCGCTGCTGGGCAGTTAATGCCTTGGCCTCGGCCTGAGAAAGCAGAAGCTGCAAGAACATTGTTCATGGGTATTTCAACCCAGGATCCCAGTTACCTTTAAAAAGCCCACGCAAGTAGCTTATCAGCATCTGTCGTTCCAGCCCTCTATAAGTTTTTCAGGAGGGCCTCGTCCCGAATAGTGCTGATGTTCAATTGCATTACAAATTTTAAACATGTATATATATATATACTATATATATATATAAAGGTTGCGTTAGGGGCCTCCAAAAAGGCGCCTCGTCTAAACAACTCTCGGCTGGCTTTCGTGAAAAACCCTGTGGTGGAGGAGAAACTTCTTACCTGACACCAAGGTGGATTCTTTCGCTTGCACGCCCAACAAAACCTGAAGAAGAATGTTACCCACTGCGCTGTGTGCAAGTGGCTGGCACAAAGCAACCGTATGAACAAAAAGGCATGCACTCTCAAGTCAAGGCTTTATCCAGCTTGAAGTGTTGTGTCATGTCGTGCCGGTTTTAGGACAAGGAGCAGCACAACGCCTTTATTCACTAAGTTGGCATAAAGTAGCCTGTTGCAGCCATTTGCGTGCAAGGAAGTGGCCATCCAAAATCCGGTCGATCCATGGACCTGATTCTTCAGATGTCTTAAGACAGGAGGCAACCGTCTGCATGCATGGCTGTTTGGTTGCCGGACGCATCTGTTGCGCGGAAGGTTCAATCTGTGTAGCATCAACATAACTATGCCACGGCCCAGGATGGCCAACGTTTATCCCATAAAAATAAAAATAAAACGAGGTTGATGCTTCAACCAACCATCAATCCGGGTGAAAAGCCAATGTTTCTTACTATGGGACTTCCAGGAGCCCAAAAAGGCGAGTCATCCAAACCTCCGAGTCTACAGGTGCCTTCGTTCAACAGGTCTAGCTCAGCAAGAGGCCACCCCATATCCAAGGATGAGCCATATCCAACCGGCTCAAAAGGTAGGGTTCTCCAAACTTCAATCGACCTGAGAGCGACTTCTAGCGAAGAGGCTGCCTGAGTCCTTTGGTTTTGCGCTTGTCCTACATTGTTACTTGTTACATATCTGCATTCTACTGTAGCTAAGATCAGGTGGTAGAAGTTTGATTAGTCAATACAGGATGCCACCTCAATGCTCCCTCTTTTTGACCCTGACCTTCTCCGCGACCGGTGTTGGGACAATGGGAATGCAGCATGCAGAAGATCTACGCCACTGTGTCGAAAGATAAGTTCACCCAACTCGAGCCCGTTTGGTTTAAGAAACCCAAGGGGTGGCATCCAATAATAACTATAGTTCCTTATGACTTGTTCGACTATGGCCACCCACGAGCACTGATTTCTGCTTGATGACCTCCATTTCGACCCGCAATCCACCCAATTCTACCAAATCACCAAGCGGATTCGTCTACTTAAGGACAACTGCTTCGACGTCTTGGTCCTGTCACTTAGCTGTCGCTGTGAGTCATGGCGTTCGGGGATCATCCTGGAGGAACCGGTGCCCCTCGCCGAGTCCTGGTGGCACTTGCTTTGTTTTGACTCGTGATGAATCACCCCCAGATGAAGAGATGTTGCAATACAAATGGGAGGGTTTATATGATGTTTCATGAATCAAGAGTCTACAAATAAAGACATGAGACATGATGAACTCAGGAACTTCTACCCTCACTTCGGCCACTCGCTCCATCCGACACCTCACCCGCATCCGCCACGGAACCGCGATCATCTCGGATTGCGCCCGGTCGGCTGCCCGGTGAGCGCTGTCCACCTGTCTGCCACCCCTATCTGGGAGGGCTGAAGGAAACATGGAACTCAGCGGTTCTAAAACCAAATCCTTTGACGCACATGCCAACTATATACCAGTTACAGTTACACCAATTGAAACAAAGTTAATGTCGATGTCGGATTGATCAACCCCGCCTTCAAGGTCAACAAGGTTTGAGATTGGAGGTATTGTAAACCACATACCCCTAATAAAGATGATGACCTGATGATGGATGATGGTTGATGGATGTTGATGGGATTCTGTGTGAACCGTGAGAGTTTTTTCACCGTGAGATCCATGAGAGCTTAGCATCTTGGCACAAGCGAGAAGAAGAGATCAAAGCCATGCCAAGTGGGGCTGGATCTGATGGCCAACTCCCAAAAAGAGAGAGTGATGAGCATATAGCTGGAGAGTATTGGGCGGCCCGGCCGTCTCTGGCCTTCCGATATGGAGAGGAGGAGGCAGTGAGGCATTGGATGAGTTGAACCATGGGGGTTGTGGTTGTATGGGATGGGATTTGGCACAAAGGATCAGTTTCACCAAATGGCACGGGAAAAGGGTAGATCAAAAGATCAGTTTCACCATGAACCAGCTTCACCATGGGAAAATATTGGATGCAATCTGAAAAGTCTTGCAGCTTTAAACAATATACTGATACTGATACTCTTACTAACTTAATGAACTATATGTTTAATTATCTGGGGGGAGGTTTTTGTCAAGGAATATTTTGCTTTGAGGGAAGTCCATATAAACGCATTCTGCGTTGAATTGGTTCCTGCGCTGCAGGGCGCAGCATAGGAGTTGGTTTCAAGCATCTACAGCCTTGTGCAAAATACTTTTGGGCTTGATTTGTTGGGGTCTGTCTGGGCCGCCCCCACCCCAAAACCCAGGTGACGCCGACCAAGTGGAGGCCTCGCTGGAACACTGGATTCACTGGATGGACCACAAAACACGAAGACCCCCCGCGACACTCTACACCTGCGTTCAATAAACATCTGTGCCCCAGAACTCCCGCCTGAACCCAAACAAGCAGAAGCATCTCGCCACCAATCCGAAGCCCATCTAAGCCTTTTTCGACCCCGATCTCCCCACCGCACCGCGGCCTTGATCTTCGAATTCCGCACCGCCTGCCGCAGCTGTGTCTGGTGAATCTCATCCTGATGCCTCCCGGCGATGGTCGGCATGGCTGACCTCTCTCACCACGTCTTGCGACGCGCCACGTGAATTTTTCGACGCTCGACCGTCTTGCGACGAACGCAGCGATGCACCGCTACGTTACGTTCGTAGCTTCTTGTTACTATAGTAGTAATGCCAGGAGCTAGGTTCGTAGCGGCCTTGTTAGTAGTGGAGAGAAACGCACAGTGGTACTGTGGTACCTGGAAAATTCGTGACCACCCCCAGTTTGACATTAGGAATCATGAGGATACAACTCTACAGCGGGAAACTGTCCGCATCAGTCCACACATGTTCCTCTGCACATTCCCGGCGTTCAAATTCGACAAACAATGCACGTGCAATCGCGTGCAGCTAAGGGGAGTATAGAGGTCCGTGATTTGGTTTGAGACTTTGCTGGGACACTAAAACACCATAATACACCGCAAGCTGCTCCAACAAAATACATCTGCCCCGGACATGGGCAATACAAGCTACTTGCAAAAGGTAATTGCTTCATTCATTAAATTAGCTCCCCCCAAGTGTCAATGTCTTAAGGAAAAATGGATTCACCCATGTGAAGGTTATGTGAGCCCCCATGTGAGCCCCGAGTGAAAGCAAGTCAATGACAAGTTCGGATGAAACAGCACATCTTCACCCAAGCTAATTGCAGGATAAATATATTCCCGCATTTCAATGCAGAAAGTACTTAGCAAAGTCTATCATCAGAGTTCCTTGGCGTTTTACAAAGAGCATCGACTTCTGCAACACTCCTGATCAACCCAAACTATATACTTCTGGTCAAACCTGCTATTTTCAGGGACGACTTGGTCAAACCATCGGTCGTCCCTTCTGATCAACCATCGCCGAGAGGCAAGCGCAAGTTGGCATCCTGTTCCTTGGAGAAGTGCAAAAGCCTTGGCGGTGATTGTGATGCAATCAAAGACTGGGATGGCTTTCTGTTGTCCTATACTATGAACCCTGTGGAGGATCGAGGACTGTCACGAATTCTGTCACCCCTACTAGGTTTTCTCAGTTTCTCTGGAGGGCAACTAAGTCACTGGTGGTCACCGGAAGGCCAATACTACATCAAGAGTCCAATGATCCCCCAGCCCAGCCCCATCACAAAGCTATTCTATGTTTGCTGCATCCACGAATGCAGTTGCCACTTGGGTTTGCAATACCTGGTAGTTTTTGGCGACATCAAGAGGCCATGAATCCCATAGCAAGCAAATGCAGGATGCAAATGTATTGTTGATGGTCTTTCCAGAACCCCACCATCAAACACCATCCTCATCTTTGGATGCAAAACGTCATCTACCAGTTCGACCAGTTCTCCCCTCCCCGGTTGGTCCGGTCCAACGGTGCCCACCAGGTGCCCAGACTGCTGACTCTTCTCCACCCGCTGCTGGGCCACCGAGTCCATTGAGGCCTTGTGCAGAATCGTCAGACGTAGGGCATGGCCCCACACAGACAGTGCCATGCACTACACGTGCGTTTTTATGTTTAAGGCACCAGTTGCACAGCAAACACATCAGGTCCTTAGACATAGCTTTGACTTGTGCCATCAACATCAGAAATTATGTTGATTCCAACAATTGTTCATCCAAATTAACCAATTCATATCATGCTATACAATAAGTCATGTTATGACGTTAATAAACTTGTGCGCATTGTGCCAAATCGGAGACTCAGAGCACCGATTATACACCACTAGGACAAACCGTTTTTCTGTTTGCCGGTTCTTGAGTGAAACCCCTTTTCCCGTAGAATCCTGCAAGCGATACGGTCGAATTTCCTCTCTCGAAAGCCGTTTTGAGAGTCCCGCACCTGATCCGACCGCGAAATGGACTTCTTAATCCGACCCCAGCTGATCCACATCGATGTAAGGGTAAGACCCGGTAGGAAGAACACACTTTCTTCCTCCTGAAGTGTATGCAGTATTTCATAGTACGTCAAATGTATTTCAATGTATTTCATACTTAATGTAACCAAAAAACACGTGAGATTTCAAGACAGTCCACTGACCAAGGAACAGGGAGGGATGAAGCAACGACTTGTCTTACATAATTTATTACAGCCACATAGTGCTTTTCCATTGACTTGCACAGACCACGCCCCAAGCTCTAGGCTGCCCGGCCACCCTTTGAGACGCGGCCTCTTGGATATTCTTCAGCAATTCCTTGTCCTGACAAACGACCCAAGGTCTTGTTTTGGGGAAGCCGCAATAGACCTTGTCTACCGTGCCAAAAACGATCCTGTCTAAGCTATCGTAGAATCACAGCCAGGGGAACGAGAGTCTTTGTCCACAGCCCACTGCACAGTAGGGTCACAGACATTATCTCTAACAGCTGAGCAACTTCACTGTGACCATTTCTGAGCTGCTGCGGGCAAGCTGTTGTGTCGTCTTGCAATCACAGCGTCTGATCAGCACCAGCTTCACACAAATGTCGCAATACTTCTGAATGACCATTGCAAGCTGCGAAGTGCAAGCCAGTTGTGCCATCTTGACTCTCGGCATGTTTGTCAGCACTCACCTCGCACCGCTTCTGAGTGTGGTCCGAATCAATCTGTGGCTAAATCCCTGGTCTGCATGTTCCACGGGTTGTAGCACCCCGGCAAGTCGTACACCTGTCTCTCAGCCCACTCCTTCATGTTTTCCGAATCGCCATTTGGTGTGGGGGAATTGAGCTCCACAACATGACGCGCAAACATCCTCAAACATCCTCAAACCCATTCAGAACGTTTGGACCAGTGGGGAAGGACGAAGAGTTGACGACCTTTGTGCAACTCGATTGCAAGACCTCGGGCAGGCCACATGCGACGCATGGGCAAACGGAGATTGACGACATCAAGTTGATGCGTTGTGTGAGGAGTTGCATTCCAAGATCTCTCTACCTTATGCCGCAATGCCCATTGAATGCCGCCCGACCACCAAAGGGACGTCTTTATTTCAGAGGTCCCGCCAGTTTTCGGAATGTGAATCATCACAAACTCGCTGTCATTGCTGGAGTGCTCCGAGTGTGGCCTGACAGCAGCTTGTTGAAGCAATCCAGTGATGTCACAATCACCAAAGACTCCCTCAGCACAGACTGGAAATGCTGCAAGAAGTATCAGAATCAACTGCGAGAATCTGCTCATCTTCTCAGCGCCGTTCGAGAGCGACAACTGGTTGGAGACTGCAAGCCGTTCTAGTGGCAGCGGCTGCGCTACATTCAGCTGCCGCATTCAGCTGCCGTTACCGTCCAATCGCCACATTCTCGCACGTTCGGATCTTGCAGGGCGTTTTCAGCATGGCTTCAACTCAATACCAATGCCAGAATCAAGGGTTTTGTTCGTGGACACATCGGAAGACTGGAGGAAGACTTGGAAGTAATCACCAACTGCACACTTACGCAAGTCAGTTTTTTTTTCTGCACATGCCACAACCCGGCTCCCGATGTTGTTTCCAACTCAGCAAGTAAGTTCGACCTCCAGCTTCGACAGTCTTGGGAGGCCAAGACTGAGTCAAGTCCGTGCCAACTCAGTCGCCGCAAACTCTCCAGCTGGGACCTACACTCCTTGATAAAAATGGCATGATCCCCGAAGACTCGGATGATGAGTCTTCCGAGTCTACCAAAGATGAAGGTGGTATTCGGTGGGTGTTCACTCGACTTCCATGGATTCTTGAAAAAGAAGTGCAACTGATGTCCAATGTCATGGAAGTTCCGCCGCTGTTGCCTTGCCATGGAAGAGTTCCACCACCACTTGGGCATCTTGGAGCACCGGCGAGGCGTCAAGGAAACGGACACGCCGGCACAACACTGGATCCAAAAGCAACGCCCAAACAGGGATGCACAATGATGCACATGAATGAAACCGTCTCAAAATGTATACGCCTTCAAAATGTACACTGTTCGACTCTGTATTGGCTGCCCATGCCAGAATTAGGTTTTGTTCGTGGACACATATAAAAACTGTAAGTAAAAACTATCAACTGCAAACTTACGCAAGTCAGTTGGCTGCAAGTGAACATTCTTCCCTCCTCACCGAGGGCCGATTCCGGTGGCCTGTACGATGCTCAGCTGCATCTGTTTCTCAGTCCAGGACGCTTGTGCCTCCGAAGGACCGGACTTGGCGGTTCGTCGGTGTTGTTTCGGTGGCGACAAAAAGCATCGGCGTTTTAAGCGAGATAAAAAAAAAAAAAAAAGAAAATCACGTCTAGGAGTCTAGGAACGGTGATTATGTGTTGTTTCTTGCTGTCTGAACGTGGCATGAAGGAGCACGTGAACGACTGGCTACTCTCCCCTTGGCCTCCCATTGCTCTTGGTGCTTCCTCCTGGCAGCAAAGCAGGGTGCCAGGGTGCCATGAACGGCTGTGGCTGTGGTGGTACTGCACTTTGACATCCTTAAACCGTATCAAACAGCCTCACAACTTGGAGGATCTTGGAGGTACATCCAGAAGTAACACAATCCAATTCCTTCATTCCAAGGGGTCTGACGCTGTAGAGTCTAGAAGGTACCAGAAACCGCATGGTGTTGCTACTAGCTACCCACAACCTGTCTAGACACCTCAACAAAAAGGTGCCGATGACATCCGATCACAGCAAACCAACAGGCACGATATGGCACGATGAAACCCAACGGGGACGACCTCTTGAGGATGCTTTTATTGGCCTGGCCGATGGGTTCAGCTGAGAACCTCCAAGGCTCCATGGGAGTCCAGTCCGCCGGGGCCAAGGAACCCCACGCCGTCAAGGCACGCTTGCCCGCACGGACCAAGGCCTGGGAGAGTGCCGATGTTTGCTCTTGGTGTGTCTGCTATGGAGGGGAACCCTGATATAATTCCAAGTTTTCATGTTCACAAGTATACAGTAGTCTTTTGTGCCATAATTTGCATGTTGAAATCCTGGTTTGACCTCAAAACAACTAATTGAGTGCAGGTCATCTTGGATTATTACCCACACTCTGGCAAATTTTGCGTCTGAAGGCCACCTCAAAAACCTTCAACTAGCCAAGCTGGGTACGAGGGTGTATGCATTGGAATATTGTCGAAACTCCAAAACAGTAATTACTGGCAACGAAAAACTTCAAGGGAATCCCGTCACCAAAACCAAAACCATCGCACCGCGGTCCATCGTTGCCCAGCCACGTGGTCATCAGTGCTGTGGAAGGCATGGGCCTCTGCTTTCACTTCGTCCAAGGTCGAGTCTTTCGGAAAACCCAAACGACTGACCAGATAGAAAGATCAAACCTGACCTGGCTGGTGAGTTGGTAACCATCCCCAAGAATAGAGATAGGAGAACCAACTATCATCAACTATCCCACTTACACGTTGTCTTGTTTCTTTGAGTTCAAGCTCTTTATTGATATTATTTGTTACATTCAGTTCGCTGTGGTGGTTATCCTCTGGTCCGGCTCTATGAGTACTCTACACTCGATCAGTTACCACAACGGCCAGGGCTTAAGCTTACTCTGGCCAAACCATTTTGCAAGCTTCTTCTCTACTACAGGAAACTGCACGGGGAAGCTTTTCTTTGGTTGGGGAATGGTGCCAACATGTCCTGGTGTAAAAGTATCTTGCAGCCTGGTGAAAAAGCCCAATGATATTGACCATCTACCCTACCGTCTACCGTCTGTGCTGTTGATGAGAGATCAACTGACACGAGACATGGAGTACGACGTAATTTTTCCTCTCCTCTTCGAGTCTGTATTGAAAAGGACGTCATTGGCCTTGAAGGACTATTGCCCGGCCGTACATAAAGCTAGCAGCTGCTACGTGCTAGCTGTGTACTTTGGATAACTTTTGATCTTGCATAGTACTTTAAATTGGATTATTCGCGTCAGTGGAAGATAGTGTATGACGCGTTAAAAGGTTTATGTTTGCGTCTTGCAAAAGCTCTGTTTGACGCACAAAAATGGAAAGATTGGCAAGCTGCGAAGCGCTCATCTCCTCCGGATCTATTGATTCTGAGGCCCGGCCAAAAGCAACACCTCCTTCATTGCTTTGCCCTCTAAGTAGTTCTTGACGTCTTCCATAGTGCTTGCTGTAAAGGTCTTCTGCTTCATGATTGGGATCTTCTTCACTCGCGTACCAATCTGCACCCGAACCTTCACCGTTTTGGTCTTGTGGTAACGGCCCAAAAGGCCATCCTCATACTCGTGGATAAGCCTGTCTTCCTCGCCATACTCTGGAATCCTACGTTCAGCGATTCAGGAAGTAAAACCGTTCGGCCTATCTGTGATTATCGGTGCCTATCTGATTGAAAAAGAACAACAGTATCAGCATCAGCATGTAACACGATCCCACACGGGTAAATTTGTACTACTAGCGACCAAGACTCTCTTGTGTTTCATAGTGATCAATCTCCTTGGCTGCATTGAACGATGCGCCAGTTGCAGCAATGGCCAGATCACACTTACCGTTATCCTGGCAGCTCAACCTCACGATCACCCTGTAAGAATGTGCGCTGCCTGTTTCGTCCACTTCGAAATCATCCCACTGGTCTGCAAACTTCTCGGCCCCATCAAGTTGCATGCCAATAGCCTCAGCGACCTTGTCGGGCACTCCTTTGGCTGCGAGTCCCCGATGGGTCTTCTCCTTCACTGATGTCATTGGGATAATCATGCGCTGGACGGCCATAAACTCCCTCATTCCAACCATCTCCATCTGGGAAATCACTGCCGAGTTGATCATCCTGGAGTGAATGATCTTTTGATTTGCGTACTGACTCAATTGCTGGGTCGGAGTTGGCTCTGGAGCAGAGAGGAGCTTTTGCGCATGCTTCGTGCAATGGCCCATTGCGGACGAAAGACCTGTCATGAGCATGGTGACTGCAGAGTCGGAGCCTACAGCTTCCGAAAGGTTCCGGAAGTTCCGGACAGCGGTCTGATTCACCAAGCTGCGGAACAAAGAGCAGCGAGACATGCTGGCAGGAGGCGGACGGGGAGATGGGCTTTAGCCAATCCTTGAGCAAAACTGGGGCACAACGATTGATTTGTCATGACATACCACAATGCTGTATATTCCTGAAAGTGAAACAGAAAAGTAACACAAAGTATATCCAGGCACGCACACACGCACACACACACACACCGTACATAGTTGCCACTGCTCATGCTGTGCCAGCCACAAAGGCTTTCTTCCTTCACAGCAAGGTCCAAGACCATCCAAAGAAGTAGAGTGGGCTCAAGGAGACTGCACTGATGGCACCCACATTTCAGGGTGATTGTATCATGAACCCCAAAAGTGGTCCGATATGTTAAGACACAAAATCACATCAAATTCCTTTGAAGCCACGGCCCATGACCCCCGCCTGTGCCGCTCGGAGCTGTCCGTGCACCTTCTGCCGCACCTGCTGTCGGTGCATTTGGAGGCACATACTATACATAGATGGTCTTTCTGTTGTTTGAGTTTCTACCCGCGCCAACAAGGACTGAAAGCGAAGCCCAAACAAGTTCAATGGATGGATGTGTCTTGCACCAGACTTTTGACCATGAGTGTCTTGCACCAGGTTGGAAAAGACTTGACTCACTTGACCATGTGCTTGCCTGGCGCATCTCATCCAGCACGCGCCGGGTTGCCGCCCGCTCTTGATGCTCCTGGTTGGGGAACAATGGTGGAAGATGTTCGGAAGTGCAAGGGGATTGCTCTTTTCGTCCGGAAGATGTTGCAAACCTTGACTCCTCACAATTATGAGCAACCGGCCAAGCATCTCGTAAAAGACTTCCACTATATATAATATATGAGGTTGGATCAACCACTGGACCAATCTTGATAATTGACATGGAGGAAACCATCATCAAAGCCTACCATCAAATCACATCCTCCCATCCGGTCATCCCATCGTATCCCATCCTATCCCAAAACCAAAACCAACGCCCAAAGGCGGTGCTCCCATGCTCCGTCCTCGCCCCTCCCGTCTCACCTCCTCCCGCTGCTGCGCGTGGCACGTCCGCAGCTGGCGATCTTCCTGGTTCCGCGCCCGCACCAAGTCCTGGGGCGGAAGGGTGCGGTCGAGGTCTGGAAGGAGGGTGTTCCATGAGAGATATGTGGAATCACCGTTTTTCTGCAGGGTTCAGTCAGTCCAGCCAGGTCCAGGTTGATCAACAAAAAACAAACAAATTGGAGGCCAGAATAGGAAGCCTGGCTAAACTGATAGCTGGGGCTTGATTGGATCAAAAAGGTGTTTTAAAGATTGTAGGCTTCCCTCTGTCTCTGGGCCATCACCAGAGTTGCCGCTGCACCGTAACCATTTGCCACCAGATTTCAGCATCCAACAGCCACGTTCGCACCGCCGCACCCAGCGCCACGCCTGACGCCGCTGCTCAGCGAGCCGCTCCGCCAGCGCCACGTCCTCCCGGAGCGCCTCCAAGACCTGCGACGGTGTCCAAAAGTCTTCGGCAAAGTCCCAAAATGTCTTCTTGTTACTACTAGTAGTGGCTACTTGCTCCTAGTAGCGCTAGTAGCTTCCTGCTCCTACTAGTCATGTCAGGAGCTACTAGTAGCTTCTTGTTACTATAAAATTTGTCCGAAGAATTTCTCGGTATTTGGGCTTAGTATCTTATATATACAGTATATATATAATATATATATAGGTAGCCCCGAAACCACCTGAATGTATATTGGTAAATCTGCTATACATGGAGGGTCTTGGGGGTTGGCATGGTGCTACAGAAACCGGTACCGATGACGCCAGATGGACGCTTGAACCGATCGGCACCACAACGCGGAAAAATGTCTTGCAGCCCGCAAGAAGTGGTGCTCGAGCCAAAACGAGTTGTTGGCAGTAGAGTTGTTAGACGAAACAGCTATCACACTAATGTGCCATCTTGATTTAGTGTAATTAATTTGCCCCATTGCAATGTTCCCCTATGGCCTATACTCTGAACCCGGAATGGTGGCCTGGCCTTCTGGCCCCAGACGGTCGTGGAGGATGAACACACAAGCGTTCGCGCACCAACGAGGTTGGAAAGGGACACTATATAACTATAATGAGTTATGTCTATTCCTTGACACACACGCCAACACACCAACACGCGACTCAATCGCTGGCGCACCGGCGGCTGAGTCATTGCAGTCGCCATGGCGAAAATGCTCTGGCCGAGGGTTGCGGCGATGAAAAAGCCCTATACTGAAGGCCCGGATCAACAACGAGGCTCCAAGGATGGATTCAATTATATAAATGATCTATATTGTTCTATATATTTCTATATTACATATTCCACTTTTAATTCAAAGCGTCAAGGCCATGTCCTATAGATCTTCTGATGTGTGAGAATGTTAGCCCATTGAGTCTTCGTATGACTTCATCAAACATCTCTCGCTCAATGGGTGCTTGGCAATTGGCCTTTTCGACATGGATAGTGCGCCAGTATGCGGCCATCAAATGTTGTTTCACCTCAGTGCCGATGACTGCGAGCGATACTCAAACTTTTTTGGACCTCCAACTTGAATTGAGCACCTACGCTGGATCTCGATTGATCAAATTGATATTGTTTCGTTGTTTGACCCGGGGTGTAGTTGATAAATCAAGATCCCAGATTAATGAGTCTATCAGGTGGAGTGCGCGGTGAGGCTTGGTGAGCCTGAGCTCCCGGTTGGTGCCGGTGCCATGGAACCCATCAATTTTGGTGGTTTCATCGGCCAATATACCAGTTCCCCATAGAATACCCCGGTACAAACTGTGGATTCAGGGTGATCCTAGCAACAGAACAAGGAGACTCCTACAGTTCCAATTAAAAAGTGGCCTTGGATTGGGACTGAAGAAGCTGCAGAAACCTTGTCGAGCTGTTGCTAAAGCATATCTCACCAACATAGGAGATGTACTGTATGCTCATCAAGAAACGAAACCTGAGATAATGAATAGTCATCATTTTCCCTCAAAAAACCAAGAGTCTCTTTCCAATAGAGTCATAGCCAATCGGTACCTGATCATACGTGTCTGAAACCCACCTCGATTGGAAGGCATTTAACACTTGAGTCAAAGACCCTCTCTGTGACCATCCCATACCATCCCATATGTTTGTTTTCTCGTGGAGGGCGGCAAAGATAATGAATCAAACGAGTTTGAAGCGAAAGTCTCTTTGCTGTCTCAACCTCTGTTGTGCCTGCCACTAAGCTACTAGGTATATAGCAAATCAATATTGCACTTGCCCACCAAGCAAACAAACCATCCGTCAATGCTCAAGCTCTCAGGGTCTGTCCCAGCACGAGGAAGTCCCAAGGGTGCTACATCCTGTTTTTTGGTTACTGTAGTTTACTTTCCTTGCAAAGGCCATCAAAGACCGATATCCGTTGACCCAAGTCACACAACTCTATAACATTCTTGTCAAGCAGGCCCTACCAATTCCAATGTCCAACGTTGTGTTCCCTATCGAATAACCTAGCAAAAGAACACTCTTGAGCAAAAAGTGACTGAGTCTCCCACGAATCCTCCACAGGCGCGTCAGACCAGCCGCTCTTCGGCTGGTCGTGTCGGCCGCTGACAGCCCGGCGGACGCCAACGGAAAGGATGTGAAAGCTGTTTGGGGACAGGGTCTGATCCCGGTTCTGCAGGAAATTGGGTCATCTCTGGGAAGAAAACACAACAACTTGAATAGGGACTTAGGCTGGGCAACGTAGAAAGCCATAGACTAAGACCAGGAACACGAACCACTCAGTCTAATTAAGCGCGATTGCAGAAACGACGACGGATTCTTTGGGTCTTGGCATGGATATTTTCCTCAGCATGATCACCCATAAACATCCAAGCCATGACAAGGACCTGATTCAGATGCCAGGCCATGGAGGGTTCCCTCCCTAGCCGTGTGCCTCATGACCCACAATTGTGTCCACCCGGCCGGGCGCCGACGGTTCGACGTTTCGACGTTTCAGCCCGCGACACGTTTCGACGTTTCAGCCCGTCAGTAGCCGCATTCTTTTGTGTAAAGAAAACATCCCCACCATTCCATTCTTTTGTGCCAAACATCTGAATGAAGCGCACTTTCTCTGCTCGACCACCGGTGCAAATTCACTCCGATGCTTGGCATGGAGCGGCGCAGTCGACGACCTTGTGACGAGGACGAAGAACCTGCACAGTTTGATCTGCAGACCCCTTTTGCAAGGAGCACCGAGAGGGGTTTCAGAACCTTCTTTGAGTATACAACGGGCCCACACCCTTCAAACCCCTGCATATGTACTCAATGTGTTCATTCAGACAAGAAGCCGACATGAAGCGCCGACAAAGTTTTGGTCACCAACATCGCCCCTTGGGCTAGACACAGCTTCCAAGGACAGGATCCTAGATTGCTTGTAGACAAGGGCTGATGAAATTTCCAAGGGAAACAGGAAAAAGAGAATAGTGGTTCCACATGATCATGTGCAATAGACATTGAAACACTCCCCTGTACGTGTTAAAGACTTAGCCTCAAACCAAAATCCTTTCTAGCTAAGCTCTGGTTTACTTGTGGAGGCAACCGTAAACATGCCGGAATGATCTGCAATGATAGGAGACGTGTGATGCTGCTTGTGGTCGCGATGTGAGGTGATGTGCCACCTGTGCACTGTAAACACTAAAGCAATATAATATATATATATGATACATATATGGTGTATATATATATATAAAGAGTAAGCAGCAAGCAGCACCTTTTTTCTTATTCGCTCTGCAGCAAAGTTATCAAAGATAGTAAAAGTTGGGAACAGAAAAAGAACTCCCAAGCCGAATGTCCCCCCCCCTTCACGGTCCACAACACGTGAAGGGGACGTTCCCAGACAATCGTCCCCCCCCAGCCAGGCGGGCCACACCCCAGACCCTGACTGGGCCCCGAGGGACACCAGCATTTCTTCTTGTTTCTCTCTCAATGCTGGTTTTTTGGAAATCTCAGTTTCCTTCCAAGTCCCCCCAGGCCTCGTTCCGAGGACGGCCTGTTGCTCTGCAACGGCTCAAGTGTTTTAAAACTTCTGGGGCTTGACTTAACAAAAACGCAATGGTCTTCTCTAAAGGACCTTGTTTCATCTCTGCCACCAAGGCTGTAAAACCGTTCAAGCAAAAAATAGCAGACGAAGCACACGCGGGGGCCGAGGTGCGCCGGCCGGACGTCTGTTCACTTTCGGTGCCATTGCTTCCCCTTCGAGGGTCGACCTTTTCCTCCTTTGCCTTTGCCTCTCCCCTGCCGTTCTTGCCCTCTGAAGACGTGTTGCCACCCCTTCCACCTTTTGATAGGTGCTGAATCACGGGAATGGTATCTCCGGGGAGAGACGGACGGTGTCCTAGGTCTCCTGGGCACTGGTTTGCGGCTCGAAGGCTTTGCAATCTGCCGCAACTCATACTTCGCTGGATGCTTCTCGACGTCGTCGTCCTGACTGCCAGTCTCCCCAGGCTCCTCTTCTTCCTCCCCAAGGGATTCAAACTCTTCTTTGGCCTCTGGCTCAGTGGCGATGAGCTCCTCTGATCCTCTTTCTCGGCCACCTCAACAGGGCCTGGACTGCCCCGATCCTTCTTCTTCTCTCTTCTCCTGCTCCGGCTGCGCCGCCTCCTTCGATGCCTCGAGGAGGAAAGGGCTGTAGCTGGCTTCTCCTTCTGCGCCGCCTCACTCTCTTCTTTCTCGGATCTTGAAGGTCCTGCCAGTGGGTCCTCGTGTCCAGCGTGCTCCCCCGAAACTGGTCCAGACTTCCCGGGAGCCTTCTCCTCCTTGTTCACCGCAGGCTTGATCTCCTTCTTCTCGACCAAATACCCTTGTGAATCAACCCGCCCCGCGGTTCGATCTGCTTCGAACACTTCGCAGTCCGACTCCAGGGTCGTCAACACTTTCGCGAGGAACGAAATGAGTTCCCGGGCCTTAGAGGTGGGATATCTGTTTCGGACCACTGTCTGGACCTTATTTGCCAAAAAATTGGGATCGCAAAGCCCCGACGTACCAGTAGGAAGTGCCAAATGATTATGGCACCCACGGCAGGACATGAGCTAAAGCCGAAACACTACGGAATAAGAAATTACCGGTGTGTTACTCTTTAATCCCGGGGGCGGGGGAGACCATATATATGATATATAAATAGTCGTACATATAACATATATATATATATATGATATATCGTTGCCAATGGCCCTGGTTTCAAGCAAACCTTGGCATGGGAGCGTTAAAGTGATATACGTAAAGTGTTTGCCAAGCACCCAAATGAGCAAAACCAATTCAGTTGAACTCTTCTGAAGTTAGACTGGTCTGGTCTGATCACTGTTGGAGAGATTCACCTGGTGGACACAGGGTCCAAATCCAGTGAGAGAGAATGGGAGAGAGGGAGCTTCAGCCTTAGATATGTTTTTCCCACCAAATCTGCGCCGAAATCTCGCCCTCCTGTGATGTTCCACGGAGCCAAGCGATTTCAACTCGGCTCACAAGTCACCTCGGCAGGAAACTCGGAACCACGCAGCTCTTTTTGCCAGTGGTTCAATCCTCTACCATGCACTCGCAGCCTGCGTGTGGTTTCAAGATGTTTCCAGAGTATCTGACATTCTCTGCTACGGTCTTCTCCCCTGCATCTCTTCGCTAAGCCGAAGGCCTTTGGTGTGGCAGGGTATTTCAACCTCGAGAACTCCATGTGAAGTCAAAGAAATTCAATCACGGGAGCAAAGAGATCTGAGCTGGTGAGACCCCCCGAGAGTTTTCCTTATTGTGAAGGATACAAACTGAGCCAGAAACAAGGCTGGAATAAGCCAGGAATAAGCAGAATTTGAACAGAGAAGAAATCAGTAATACGCCAGAAATACTGTAAGGGAGTCCCTTGCCAATTGCTTGTTATTTTCAATTTCCTTAGATGATATGTTGTTTACTCAATTTTACTTATATTTGTACTTATCTTCTCATGGCCTTCCTAACCCCTCTACTGAAGCCTTACTCATCTGGGAAAAGGTCTAACCTCGCAAAGAGTCCGCTGAATTGTGTTCAACAAGTTGGAGAACCTGAGCAACTCTCCTCCTATCATTGATCATGAATCCTGAATAAGTAGGAATATATATGTATATGATTATATAAATTATATATGTATAGTCTAGTTATATATGTTTGTGTGCATGTATGGAATGATTGGGCTAACTTCTCTGATCAAACCTCTGCAAGTGTGAACCTGAGCAGCAGAATTATGGAAAAGTTGTTTGACAAGGGCATCTGGTCATGCACCACAAAGTTATACAGTATATATAGTGATTGGTTGAAAATGTGAACAACCAGAAACCAACAACATATACTGTGAACAACCATTGCCCTTGTGACAATGCTTCTACAGCTGCGCCGTATCGCACAGCATACTCCCAATCTATGTAGCAATTGGACATCATCAAAGAAGTTGTCCTGGCCTCAACCACAAGAAACTGCTTAGTCAGGAAACCCCGTGATCTAAGGGAAAAGCTCTTTGTACTCTGGGGTGATAAGTAAGCCGGGTGACCCTTCATCACCCGCCGTGTGTCCGTTGGGGGGTGGGCTGGTGGAAGAGAACAAGACCTGGAAGGCCGAAATCTGCTGCGCCTGGGCCGGTGTTCGGCACCGCCAGGGCCTGCAGCGAGTTCTCTCTCTCGGTTCGGCCGGTGAACAAACGAAAGGAGAGGGTGCCACTGAGATCCTTGACCAACCAGGTGTCCGCACCAAGAACTCCAGTCACACAAACAGTCACCAAGAAGAATACCAGCATAGACCCAAACAGTTTCAGCAGGATCTGTTTGCGTCCATTCCTTGAATTCCAATGTTGGTCAAACACAAAAGGCACGCCCTGCCCCCCCCCGTGAAGAATCCTCTGCCAGCAAGCTCTGCCCTACCCTGAAACATCCAGTGTAGCATCTGTTCGAAATATGTGAATCTGAGTGAACCTGAACCTTGCTTTGGAAACGCTTGCTGTTAAGTGCTTTGGTCTGTAAAAGGCAAAAAAACGCTTCTTGGTACCATGAAAAAAGCACGTTGCTTCTGATTCCCGGTTCATGTGCACAAATGTCATGAGAAAGTCTGATACTGAAACGCTGCGTCACTGTTGCATTCATAGACAAATCCGGAAAACAATCCGGACCAGGCGCTGGAGATCCAGGGAAAGCTGCGCGGCCAAGCAAAGGACAAGGCCCGATGAAAGGCGGTGGTAGGAGGGCCAACAACGCGGACCAGCAGGACACACAGACTGCACAAACGAGGCCTCAACAAGCCCCGGAACAAGGGAAATAGAAAAGGGCCCACGGCGTGGCCCACGCCGTGGAAACACCTTTCTTTCCTAAAAGAGAACCCCAACACTAAACTGCTTCCTCCTCAAGCTGCACGATCGCAGGCCCGGACTAATGCCTGACCACAGTGAGACACTAACCGGCAAACTACGAACGAAATGAGCGAGCGAAAAAAAATCAAGGTACGCACGAACCAAAATGCGGAAACACTAAACTGCTTGAGGAAAAATATTAGATGTTCAGCTACGGGCTTGCCGAGTGGTAACGTGGAACCTGCTTGCCATACCAACAAGCAAAAATACTCTCTTGTTCATCTTGCCGGGGGTTCAATATGTTCTCTATTTCATCTTGCGGGGGGGTCCCAAGGCACAGCCCAACGCAAACTGGGTATGATAAGGCCCTGAAAAACCCTTGAGGTTCTGAAATCCCTTGCCTTCGTTTTTGTTATCTTCTTTCGACGCTCCCTTTGCTTTAGTTGGACGACGGATCACCACCGCACCGGATCACCTGGATCCTCCTCGCGAAGCTGCTCTTCCACCTGAAACGAAGAATCGAAGAAGGCGTGGGCAAAGTCCTAAGAAATGGCCACTAACAATTGAAATCTGATGGTTTCACCAAAACTTGAGAGGAGGGAGACACGAAAGGTAGGACAGCGGGAAGAGAAGAGAACGCGAGAGGCAGGAACAAAAATGCAATGTTCGACATGGTGATTTATCCCCTCGGAGGCGACCTTTCGTAAATATATGTTCATATGCACTCTAAATGTTCAAACATATGCTCTCGAAATGTTCAAAAAGGTTCTTAGGAAAACAAACTTGCCCCATGGCTCAGATCATCGGTGAGCATTGAATCGGAACATCATAGGATTTGAACTATCCTGAAACCATAAGAGGCTCACGAAGACGCTCCCCAGGAGAGAATTGACGTGCTTCACAAAACAAACTCTAGGTATGTATCCCCTCGGGGAACACCTTTCGTGATTAGAATTTCATATTCACTCTTTCTAAAATGTTCAAGAGGGTTTCAACTATCCTGAAATCATGAGAGGCTCACGAAGACGTTCTCCAGGAGAGAATTGATTTTAGAGGGGGGAGGGGGGGGGGGG